CTCTGGGTGTGGAATGGAGGTCTCCATCAGGGACCAGGGTCTCCCTTCCAAGAACTGGGAAGTCTTCCCAGCAGAAGCTCTGTGGCCGCACCAGCTCTGGCCCTGGCCCTGGCCCCAGGTCCCAGCAGCCTCCCCTCCTTCTGTCCTCTGGAGGGGCTGGGCTGTGTTCCACCCCACAGTGTCCTGAGATCTGCCCAGGAGGCCGCCTGGTCAGAACTTCCTTCTTAAGGCCAAATGATATTCCCGGGTGCCGCAGCCATCAGGGACACCCAGGTCCACTGTGAGGCCCTGGCCCTGGACCTGAGTTCCTGCTGTCCGTTCCCCTGGGTGGACACTAGGAGTGGAATCCTGGCCTCACGTGGCACTTCTCCATTTACCTGTCCCCTGGGGCTGTAGCACTCTGGTTCCAGGCGCAATACAGGAGGGTTCCAAGCTCTCCACGTGGTCTGCAACACTGAGTGCTTTCCGTTTTTTCATTCTTTTACTTGTAGATGGATACATTGATTTTATTTTATTTTATTTTATGTGGTGCTGAGGATTGAACCCAGTACCTCCCACATGCTAGGCAAGTGCTCTGCCACCGAGCCACAACCCAGTCCCTGTCTTTTTCTTATTTTTTAAATAAAAGAATAGTCATCCTAATGGGTATGAAGTAGTATCTCACTGTGCTTTTGCTTTCTTCCCCATTTTTAATTGGTGCATTGGAGTGTACATAATGATGGGCTTTATTGTTACATATTTGTGCACACACACAATATACAATATAATTTGGCCCATGTCACTCCTTAGCCCTGGCCCCTCATCCCTGACTCTGTGGTTTTAATTTGCAGGTTCTTACTTGATAACGATGTTGACACTCTCTGCATGTGATTATTGGAAACTTGTATATTTTCCTTGGAAAATGTTTCTTTGAGGCCTTTTTAAAAACTTGGTTTGTTTTGTTGTTAATTCGTTGAAATTCTTTTTATATTCTGGATACTAGAGCTTATCAGAGATATGATGTGCAAATTTTTTCTTACATTCTGTCAGTTGACTTTTTGTTCTTTTGATAGAGTCATTTGATGC